GACCAGCTTCAGGTCTGAGGCTCCAGCTCTTATGAAACAATGTATAATTCCAGCTCTGACTCCAGCTCTGAGATCCCTGCTCGCTGAAAGCAGGTTTCTGGAGTTTTTTTTTTAGCTTCTGTATGTTACTATGTTTCAAACTGCCCACTCAGAGGCCTGCAGCGGCAGGAGGGGAACGTTGGAGTCCGCCGTCACTGAAGCAAGCAAGCCTCATGTTCAGTTTAAGCTGCCTGGCTGCCGGTCGCCATCTTGGCTGTCAGTTAATTTGCATATCTCACTGATTAGCCAATGGGAAGGGTAGCAGTCGTACGCCAATTACCATGTTTCTCTTTTATTAGTGTAGATGTTCTTTCTATTACACCATATTTCCTCTCACTTTGCAAACATCTATAATGGGTTTTTATTCTGTGCCAAAGCTGGTGTTAGGTGGTAGGTTAAGACAAATGAAACACTGATAAAATGTATATGAACATTTAAAATTTAAATTTTTAAGGCATGTTTTTATCTCCTTTGCCAAGCCTATCATTCAATACTTGAATTCAACCTTCCATTCTCTAAAGTTTGCCCAATTTATCTTGTCATTTAGATACTTCCACATACTTTACAATTAATTTATTCAACAAACATTTATATTGGGGTACTAATTCAAAGCACAATGCTAGGTTAATATAATAATGGACAAGACCCAGTCAAATGAAAGAAATGAACAATAACTTCAGAACATGTGAGGACTAAAAGCAATTACTGTGGGGTTGTGGGGGGAAAAAGCTATGAGACTGAAGGAAGGAAGTGATTTTAGTTGGAGCTCAAAGATGAATAAATGATCTTAAAATAGGGTAGAGGAATAAATATGCTTCTGGCAGAGTGAAACCATGTACAAAGGGACAGAGGTGTGCTTGAAAGTCACACCAATTCAGCTGGGGGCGGGGGCATGGCTCAGGAGTTGGGGAACCACCGACTTTTTTTTTCTTTCTTACGCAAAACTATGACTTAGGCTTGGAACCATGTTTTAGAAAGATGGCTTCAAGAGCCCCTTCGGGATCATTTGGAAAAAGAAGTCATTTAGGAGGGAGAGCATCACTTACCTGGATTCGTCATATTCTTTCACATCTCCAAAAAAGAATTGCAAATTCCACAAGGAAAAGAACTATTTCTCCATATTCTTTTATGTTCTTTGGGCTTTAATATGGTACTATGCATTATAATTTTATCTGGTAAATCATTATTATTTTTTTTAGGTCAATGAAAGTAATACATTACCTCTGGTACTGAGTACGGCTTTGTAGCTGAATAGTTGAGGCTGAATGTAATGATTCAGATAGGCATGGGTCGGTAAGGGGAGGAAAGTGGCGTCTTTGGGACAACTTTTGTCTGATTACCTGGAAAATTTGAGCGGTGAAACGGGATGCAGTCGATGAAACCTTTTGAGACTGTACAACAGGATACATTATATTTGATTTAATTAATACAAACCTGATAGTTTCCTAATGAGTCCTGTTGTGGCCTATGCATTATGCTATGTTTGATAATACAGAAATACAGATATGAGTAAGGAACAGTCTCTGACCTGTGAGCGCACACTGGTTCCTGAAAAGAGGAAATAGACATTTTAAGCGTGATATAATAAAATCTGTTTACGCTCTGTTAGCCTGTGAACAAAGTGCTGCGGGAAATAGTGAAGGGAGTGACCTAATAGTTCACAAGATTTTTGTCGGGATTTAAAAAAAAATTAATATATGTGTAAAAATGTCATACTAGTAGTCTTAGCTCAAATTATTACTCAGCAAACACTACTTCGTATTGGTATTGGGAGATTTTTTTTGCAGAACGTGCAGCCCTCACCTTTAAGGGGTTGCTCGTTCCCCTAAGCCTCTGACTTCTTTCGTCTGGCTGAACCCACGTGAGTTTTTGGCTCTTCACGCAGAGACCGGTGTCAAAGACCTGCAGGCTCCCACAGTCCAGCGCCTCTGAGCTCACGGCTGCGGCTCTACTCGGGAGTTTACGGTCGTGGGCGGGGCCCGCCCCCCCTCATGTGGTCCCGACATCATTTGACATGGCGGAATCCCTCCTCAAACCCTCCTGGTAGTTATTGGAGCGGCGGCGGCGGCTGGAGCAGGAGGAGGAGGAGGAGGAGGAGGAGGGCGGCGGCGGCGGCGGTGGCGGGAGCGGAGAAGGGGGCGGCGGCGGCCCTCGGGGCTGCCGGCTGGGAA